CAACCAAAGCCATTTTGTGATTCTGTGATCCCGTGAACATTTCTGAGCTTCCAATTTCAACGGCGAAAAGTTGAGAACTTGAGGCAATTCACGTTTCAGCAGCAAAGGAGCCAATTCTAAGATGGATTCTCGGCCAGTCTCAAGCACCAGGCATTACCTTCTGAACAGCAGCAACAGCAGCAAAGTCCTTTTTGTCTATCAGAGCGTACTTGCTTCGTAATCTGGCCTCCACTTCATGCTCCTGTTGACTAGGGGAGAAAACAGCCCCTTACCTTTGTGTTCAAGGAGGACTACTTCATGTGTCAAAACCTGTGATACCTGCCAATAGCAGATTTCCAAAGGAAAACGTCTTTCACCTGGGATCTCATTCCCAAACGCCCCACCTCGCTCCTATTCTTTCCCGTCACCGTTGTAACCTTTATCCACTCTCCTCTTCCTTTCCTTTTCTACAATGTCCCTTTAGGCCTCTGAGATACGGCAGCTTTCTGATGGCTATTTTAATACTTAGCCTAACCTTTTAATGGTCCAGATAGAATAATATTACCTCTGTTCGGTTCCATCACCTTACTTTAACCTAGTGATTTTCAGAGTGACTTTTTTCCCTGAAAGGGAACAAGTAAAGCATTGTCAGTAGGCTTAAATACACTACACAAGACTGAAAATCTTTAGAGAATCTGCAAGTTAAAGAAGACTAAAGCCCACTGTGTCAGTACAATAAAAGGAGTCCCAAGTTAAAAAGATAATAATCAGGCAAAATTTTAACGTGAAACCCATTTTGGTCTTGGGTCCTAGCAAAGCCAGACTGCCCAGGCTGATGATGTACCACAGTGTTGTGGAACCACAGAGATTTGGGTGTTCACACAAGTTTCTCGAGGGCAGGCAGATTTTCTACAGCAATATCGCAACGTCACTCTTGTGAGTGGCAACCTCTACTGCCTAGCCAGACCACTGCTGCAAAGGTTGGTGGGGCAGGGAGTGGGTGGGTTGCCCTAATACCCTTATTCTCTTCTATTTCATTACATGGAAGCTGCTTGTCCTCATTTTTAGGATTTTTTTTCCAGCCTGTCATTCACCTTCCCTCCTTCAACCTAAAAAAACAACTTTCATCATCCACTGGTGACATTCTGAAATAGCCACTTTCACGCTTTCTCCCATCCCACAGCACACATCAGAGAGTGCCTCTCTGGAAATAGCCATAGAGCCTCCTCCTCATGCTCCTCCAAATTGCTTTCTGACTTTCCTTTGCCATCATCTCTTAAAAAAAAAAAAAGTAAATCTGATGACTTTCAGATCTGTTTGCGGGCTGCCTTGCACTATGGAGATATGCTCCACGACTAGGGATCCTGCACAGTTTATGCTCGGTGATGGTCTATTTGCCAAGCAGACCTCTTAACCAGTGAAGTTGACCATCAAGAGCCCTCACACATGACTTACAAGCACTGGAAGGTTAGAGGCAATAGTCTTCTTGTGCAAAGGCCAGCAGAATCTGTCCAGAATTATGTTTTCGGTTACAAGTTATTCCCTGTACTTCATCATGATTCTTCACTGATGTCATGGTAAGTGTGATATCCCAGACAAAAGCTTGGTGGAATTTCTAAACCTTACTGTGAAATGCATCAACCTTGGAAGTCTTACCTTACAATCAGTTTGAACTGCTTAAATACCTCCTGGACTTGCCTGACGTTCACTATCTGAGGAAGAGATGCACACGGTGAAGACACAGGCAAGCATTTCGATGCTGCGCTCAGCTGTACTGATTCAACTCTTTCAGGTTGTGAGGACTCTGCTCTCCACTCGCTGGGTATCCACCCCGCAGGAGAGTTACCTTTAGCCGGCACTTGAGGGTCAGGCTGGAGGCGGATACATTGCTCGCTCTGAGATTTTTTAAATGAGGGGAATCTGATAGACTGTGGTAAACTCCATGGAGCGCAGAGCCATCAAGGTAATGATTTATTTACGATATTACAAGTTACGTAGATGGCATCTACCGACCTTGTGGATTATGCTGCTACTTCTCTTTTCACTGCTGGCCAAGACTGCCTGAGTACTTGGAACCGCCAGAGCGCTATCTTCGGCGCTCTGAGCCACACTAACAAACCAGTGCCGTCGAGCCATACTGCTGTCTCTGTGTTGGAGATGATGAGCAGGGGCAGGGACAGATAAGTAATGAGCAGTCTGCAGCCGAGCAGGAATCTGCACCCAGCTCTCCCAAGGTCCAAAAGACTGGACCAAGCTATTGAAACGCACTATCTCTGTGCTCAACCCTCTCTCTAAAAGATTCTTCAGTGCCACTGAAGACATCCTTCCCTGTGTGAAACTCCTTAGTCCTTCTCTACCTTCCTGGCTCCACACCCACCCACATCACATTTTGCAGGCCAGATAAAATACACTTCCACGTAAGCCCTTATTCCGCTCCACTCCTACCCGCGGAGGGAGAAAACAGGGACTTTGAGAGAAGATAACGATTACGTGAAATGAGAGGGAGTATCTCAAGTGTTTCATTTAAACTCGAGGGTTATCTAAGTGTTTGGAAAACAGTCCTGCAGCAAATTCGGCGCTGTTGTCACAGCGGCTTCTGTTCACAACCAAACAGAACTTTACTGTGACTCTGAGTGTGCATTTATGACTTCCATTTTCTTACATTTTGTTTTCTTTCCTCTCTGAATACAGGAATATTTGTGTATGTAGGACTTCTGCTGTTTCTTTTTGCAATTGTTCCACAGTCAACGGGTAGTTTCAAGTCGAGGAACTCTGCCCTAATGAACCCATCTTTAAGAGACTGGATTTATTTCGGCAACACACCCTGCAAAGATTTAGTTTAAAATTGGCAGGGCAAAATTTTGACATCAATTCTTTAAAGAAGTTCCAAATAAACCGATTCAAAGGGTTTCAGGACTGAGGAAAAGTTTCCTCAAGCTTCCAAAAAAGCAAAAATTGAATGAAAGCAAGGAGACGGTCCTCAACACGCAAAAAAAATAAATTACAATTCTGTAGTGCTTTTGGGGTTAAAGACAGCTGCTTCAGAAGACATTTTCAGTGCTTCTGTCTTGGAGTAAAGTGGAATGAAATCAGTATTTAAGTCCTTCTCCACTAGAACGCTACTTACATCAATTTCATCAATGGCTCCTTTTAGGTATTTATGGACTTGAGACTTAATCTCTGCTATCTGGACGTCAGTCAGAGGGTCATAAGTCACCAAAGAACGATTTACCTAAGAAGAAAGGTGAAGACCTGAGTATCAGTGAATTACCAAAAGCTAAGCAAGTGCTAGTCTGGCAAACGCCTGGCATCACTCCACTGTGCCCAGGGAAGCCTTATGTTTAATTTCTGATCGCTATTTCTCATTGTCTGAGTTGAGAGGACGTGGGACTTGGGAGCATGCTGAAAGCAATGCACTCCCCTTCACATTTCAATCAAACATCAGGAGGGCTTCAAGAGTCTGAAAAAAACCATCTGCGGTGGTTGGGGACTGAAGCTACAACACAGTCTCCCTGCACGGGATCTTCAGAGCTTTGCCTAAACCCCGAAAAACAGGGCTGGAAGTAGAAGGAAGAATACGGTCGCACTGAGTTAACTGATCCTACCGCAAAACAAAGATCATGACAAAGCCTTAACTAGGTCCCACCTAAGACACTGCAGCCTGTTCCTTACCAAGCTGTCATGCATGGCCAGTTCCTGCTTCAGAAGAATAATCTCCTTCTCCAAAGCCTTCACTGTCCCCTAGCAGGAAAACAAAAGGGTGAGCAAATGGCTAAATGCAATAGGAGAAAAACCTGCTGAAAAGCAGCGTTAAACTAGCTGCTCGAGAATATCACAGCTGTGTAGCAGCTCCCCTCGGGTTTGCCGTCATGCACCCGTGAAGCAGTGGGGCTGGAAATGACTCGGCCTTCGATTAGCTTCCAAGAAGACAGCTTCTGTTGGGTCCTGGCTGTACCGCCTGCAGAGTCAGGCTAAGCCATCAAAAGAAGGGCCACCTGGTTTCTAATTCGATGCCATCCTGATCTGGTACTGTAGGAGCCATCAATTTCTGGATGATGAGAGATTATCTTGAAAGCAAAGAAGTATGCAGGTTTCCACTCTGACTCTTCCTGAGCTCAGCAGGAGCTCTGCCATTAACTTTAATCGAGGAGGGAATCTCCTGTGGTGTACTGGATTGAATTTCTCCCTAACGTGGAATATCTTCAAGGATTCACTATTTAGAATGTGTTTCCAGAAAGGTGTGGGTACACAAATCTGCTTGGGATTCAGTGAGAATCAGATATTGAGCTGCTTTTTCAGTGACCTGTCAAGCATCAAAGCACAATAGCTTCCTTAAACACTACTCTTTTGGCTACACTTTTCCATTCCACACATCTCAACAAAAATGAAAGGGACTGAAGAGGAAAAGACAGTTTGTTGCACAGCTTCTTCTGGAAGCTGTTGGAGGGAACTCCCCAGCTGTTTCTCTGCTTGCCAGTGAGATCAGACCATGAAATACAGCAGGGCTCTCACACACCGCATCTGTTCCAGATCAGATAATTCTCAACTTGTTCTTTGGGCTATCAGTAATTCGTAGAACATTTACTGCTGCCAGCTCTGTTTCAGCTGTGAAAGTGCACTCAGGACATCTAAAATACTATCATTATTTTCTTTAAATTATTTCCTTGTTTAAACACTGGTAACTGCTGGTAACCAGCAGCAACAGGGATGATGCTGCGTAAAGCTGCAGGTAGGACTGGAGATGATTTCCCCACGTACCAGGGGAGTAGCCCACACCATAATGCCTCTGTTAAGGGCTGAATCTTATCAGAAAAATTAAGGACTCATATGCATGCAGTTGAAAGAGCTAACGCGTGTCAGGGAAGATGCAACCATCTCCATGGCTGTACCCTCTAGCATATCCAAGGGAACGGTAATTAAATACCAATGAGAAAAGTTTAATATTAATCCGTTTTATCATACACCTAAATTTCGCAAGTGTCAGCTTGGCTGGTGAGTGGTAATTCATTAAACTACTGAATTTCCCTCTGGTTTTTAAGGTCATTATCCTAAACATTAATGAGAAAATAGGCCTTCTTCCATTCCCCTTTTCTACATACCTCTCGGTCAGATGTCTCTTTGAGGACTGGCTCTGTTGTGATCCATTTCATTCTGGTAGCAAAACGAAGAGAAGACAACTGAAAAACATGGGGTTTAAGTAACTGAAAGAGATATTGGCAAGGATATCATTTTCATAATCCATTACTACTTAATCATATCAGATCCCAGAACACAGAAATACAAAAGCTATTTAACTGCAGGGAGCAGTACAGGATTTCTCATTCCAGGAGCGTATCTTCCAGTGCTCACTGGCTTCCATGTGATTAGCCAGCTTCAGATGATGTCTTTGTCTTTTCAGTTCGGGATGTGGACAGCTCTTTGTGTACCAGAGCTGTGATCTCAAAAAAACCCACTCCCATTTCTAACCAAAATACCACTTACATCCTAAAAACTCCAAATCGCACATCAATGGCCTTCAAGCTTCTACTTCTGCAATCGTGGTGTCTTGAGAGTAAGTCCCTGCAGCCTGAAAATCCTTTTCTTGATGCAAAGTATAGCAGGTGAGTACTATTATAAGTCTCTAGATGCTCTCAGAACACAAGGAGGAGATGATAAAACCAACCCTGCCTCGAAGACAACCACACAACAAGTGTCTGTGTTCACATGGCTTTTTGCTACCTACAACTTTCTTGGCAAAGAGCAAAGTGATTCCCTTCTCCGTGTTACAGATGTGGTTACGTCGATCCGATTCACACAGTGAGACTTTCACCAATTTCACTATTTCACAGGTTAAAAAAACCCCCGTACTGTTAGGGGGTTACTCCTGATTCCCGAACCAGCAGAAAGGCAGCTCAGCTCTGATGTGAACTGGTGCAATTCCGTTGACCTCGGTATGTGATGTACCATTTGAACACATTCGTAGACTTGAACCAACAATAATAATTAACACTTTCCACTGTGCTTAGATTTTAGTTGCTTGTGCCTGCTCTGTTTCAGGCTCCCATTTTCCCTCCGCCCCGGGCCAGTTCGTACTCGTCTGTTTGCATCACAAAGCAGATTGGCGAGAGCAATCTGTTTTCTGAGCCTTGAAGATAAGATGAGCTATCGCTATCCAATGTTTCCGATGAATTAGGCAGGATGTTTCTCTGGGATTCCTGCCATAGCCCTCCAGAGACTATTCTTTAAACCCAGCTGTGGCCAATTGCAACAGTAGCAGGAACAAGACTTTAATTCTGCAGAAATCGGTTCAACTTACAGTCTCTTCCACGTGCACAGCTTCCCCACAGATATTTGCCACTAGGACAGTATTGCAGTTTCCCCCTGGGAGAAATTTAGAAAAAAAAAAATAAGCAAAGAATATAATTTGGGGGTTTTTGTTGCTTCCTTTTCTGGAATATATTATGTGCTGACTAGAAGAGAGAAAAAAAAGCAATAAAGAACACAGCTGGTTTGTAACTGTCCCTCTACAGTTCACATGGGTACAGAAACAGGGTGGCACAGAATGACTTAAGAATAAAGGTAAAATGCGTTTCTCATGTGGCGATGATGCAGTAAGAAGATGGGAATACAAACTGTGAAAGCCTGAAATTGGGAAAACTGGAGCAGAGGATTTTAAAAGCCCTTGGCCTAAATCTAGCAGCGGGGAACCTGGCAGGACATAGCCACCGCCTTTCCTAAAAGCAACGCCAGGCTCGTGCTCGGAATGCCTCAAGCATCACTCTCATTCCCGATGACTTTGGTCACTCCACACAAATGTCTGCAGTCTGTTGTCAGCTGCTTTCTCCTCCCACGTCTCCAACCTGCATTCCAAGAGCATAAGCCTTTCCTGTGGATTCGCGACGCACCACAGCTTTGGGTTTATCATCTGTAGCCTGATGCTAAAGCAGGAGCATCTGAAAAGGCTTGTAACATGCTGGGTTTTGCGTTTTTTTTGTGGTGGTAGTCTTTGAAAGTATTCTAACCAAGGTTTTGTGAGTTTCTACCGGCTTGATCAGTGTGGGCTTTGTACCATCTCCTGCGCCTGCTGTTTTATTTAATGAGGAAAACCCGACATCCTTTGAACGATGATGAGTTCCATGTGTTTATATGTTACGGCCTTTGCATTTAATACGTTCATTGAAACAACACTGTTTTCTAGGAACTATTTGGGGCCGTTGTCACGCACAGCTCTTACCTAGTGAGTCCTTGAGAACGTGAGTGAGCTTGCTCTGCCGGAAGGGGATGTGGTCCCTCTTAGGATCAGCCAGGGCAATGACGATTTGCTCAAGGAAAGACAGGGACTTGTTGATGTACGTGGCTTCTTTCAGAACCTGGCCTTCAGACTGTAACGAAGATCAAAAGGCAAAGCTTCCCCAACACGTGGTTCTGGCCGAACCGCAGAAGACAGCATATTCCTTCCTGAGAGTAAAACTGTGCTTGACCGCAAGGGTAAGGAGCTAGTTCGGAACCAATAAATTCACGATCTAGAGCTTTCTTCAGTTTGAAAACAGGTGTTCAGACACCTCAATTTTTCATTACAAGTCTACAAGGACCACTGGCTTTCCTTTCCAAAGGGTAAATTATGTATTCGTCGGAGGGCCGATGCAATTTCTATTCTGATCAATACAGAATGTCCCGTGGGACCTGAGGAGCTTTCAGTTGTCGAGCCCTAATGCTCTAAGAAAGTTTCAACAGTTTGCCAGCTGTGACCAGAAGTGGGGGATTTGCACTGTCACTTGGGGAATGAAGAGGAAAATCAGAGGTTCTTTGAGAAATGATAGGCTCAAATTAACTAACTGGGTCTGGGTTAGGTTGGGAGGCACATGCATGCGGACTTAGAAATGATACACAGCAGCTGCAAACAACTGAGCACCCTCTGACGTGTTAATGTGACTTACAATTTGTCACAGGTTCTCCTATTTATCACTGGCTGAACTCTGTTGTGGGGAAAACTTGTAATTTCACCTCCACCGTGCTGATTACTGGACTCTTCAGCATGGACTGAAATATTCCTTCCATTACTTACTCCAGTCTTGCTCAGTCTCTCTGAGCCTGCCAGATCTATTAAGTTGATTTTAGAGTTAACGCGTTTGACGTCCGAGAAAACTCTGAAACGAGACTGAGGGAGAAAAGCATATAAACTGTACTTAACAGCAGGCAAAACTGAAATACAGTAAAAAACAGACATGTGAAGATCCTCAGGCGTTTGAGTCCCTAGAAAAACTGCTGGAGCTCTTACCTCAATATAAATAGTAAAGATGCAATGGGATCTGGATGAATTCTTATTCAGTGTGTGCTCTGCTATCATTCTGTTGGTCTCGCCCTGCAAATGAAGTCAAAATTCAAGACACTGTTTTTAAACTTCTGCATTGGTAAAATCAAGGGAAATTAGAAATCCACACAGCTAAATAAACAGCGTTTCGATCTTCACTCCGCAGAGCCTGTAACATGGATCAGTTGGTTGGAGCAGTCAGAGCAGGAGCTCGCTATATTTGTCTTGCTTTCTTACTCAAAGGCCTCTCAAAGCATTTCACGGTGCGGTTGGTAAAGGTCATTGTTTACCGTAATAATGCCTTTTACCGAAGACCACATTATCTCCATTTCCTTGTTCAGAGGCAATACCTCCCTGGCTGTTTCAGTTTCCTGATGACTAGAAAACCAAAGAGCTCCCCAAGCTTCAAATGTCATCGAAAAACTCGCACAGACACGACAGTCACATTTTTGTAATGCCTACTTAGAGGAAGAGAAAGCGACATTGAAAATGATGTTGCAACTGGTTGGTTGGAGCGCCAGTCTATGGCAGAGCTGTGCTGCCAGGCTGGCAAGGCAGACAAGGAAAGAGGAAGGCTCTACAGCACAGAAATGCACTTGTCAAGAGGGTTCCCAGCCAACTGGTCTGCCTGGGTCTCAAAGGACAAGGACCTTTGAGAGCTGGAAGGTCACTGGCTGGGCTCCACACTAGGGACTGTAAATCCAAGAGCAAGAATGAAGGTGATGCTCTCGAGGTAAATCCTGTCTCTCCACAGATGAAGAAACAGAGTCACAGCGTGGTGGGCAGCCTCCTCAAAGCCTGCGGCTTTCCCTGTGAACCTAGAACCACAGGCAGACCTCATCGAAGGACCTGAAGGGATCCCCGGGCATCACTTGCACTTCTTCTGTCAACAGATCTCAAGTGAAGCTGCATTGTCATCATCCTTCTACTCTTTAAAAAGAAAACGGGAGTTTCTGCAAATCACAGAGGCTGGCTTAGGACAACACACTCCCATTATTAAAAAGGCAAGTGAAAGATTTTAAGGACACCAGATGGCTCCCGCTAAGAATACGCTTCCTGCATATAAACCCAATTATTTATTCATGTTTCCCATGAACTAAAGCACCCACAAGTAAAAGAAAGATGCAGACATAAGTAAGCAAACTCCTTTCGCAAATCTAACCCACCGTGTGGCCGCCCTGCTGTAAAATCTGACTAACGGTGCCTGTGCCACGACCATCCCGAACTCTCAGACTCTTTTCTTGGAGGATTGATGTAGCTAGGACAGGCAGGTGTGTTTTTCAGGAAGAAATTCCAGTGTAGGTCAGCTGGTGGGTCTAAAAGGACCCCAAATATTCTACACTTTGTACCATGTGGCTCACTGACACTCTGGCGTGATAACCAGGGTAATGGAAACAAGTCTTTTTGGCGGTCTGGGATCTCGGTCTGCTGAAGGGGCTGGTGAGGTGGCTGGAATTTCATACAAGTCTTCTGAAACGAAGGCAGATTCTGTGACTGCCTTCACTATTTTGGTGCTGCCTGGAATCTCCAACGGTACTACGTTCTGTGGTCTCACCTCAAAAGCAATGGCACAGGTTGCCCGGAGAGGTGGTGGAAGCCCCATCCCTGGAGGCATTCAAGGTCAGGCTGGATGGGGCTCTGAGCAACCTTATCTAGTTGGAGATGTCCCTGCTCACCGCAGGGGGGTTGGACTAGATGACCTCTGAAGGTCCCCTCCAGCCCAAATGATTCTATGATTCTATATTTCCTCCATCACTTGACTTGCTCTGGCGTACACTGAAAACAGGGTTTCTCCACAGAGATCTTCCAGAATCTCCGTGCCAGGGATATCTTCCTCACAAGAACACGAGCTACAAAGAGTTACCAGTTCTTTTACCCACAATAAAGAGAACAAAGAGAGTTGAACCTCCCTCCAGCCGTCCTGGCCACCCACCTCCTGCTTTACTGCCTCCTCCCTCAGCTAAGCCAATACATATAACAGATGAAGTGTAATATTTGTTTTTTCTTGCCTCAAAAAGGAGATTTAGAGCATCTTCCTCACGGCTAACTGCATGTATAGATAAGCCCTTCACATAAACACCCTGTGGGCAATCCACTACAGCCATCTGGATGTCACCAGTCCCATTGCTTGTCACGGTGGAGAGAAGGTCAAACAAGGTCTCGTTGTAGATTTCCAGGTAGGATATTCGGACAGTGATGAACGGATCAACGGAACATGCAGTTGCTTTGAAGACCTATACAAAGACAAAGAGTTTGTCGGTGGCGGTGCTGGTTCCCAAACAGAATTATTAGCTATTTATAGCTTTCCAGAGAAGCTATTTATAACTTTCTGAGCAGCTATAAGTGCATCTGCGTGCGTGTCGCTAATTCTGCACTGTGCTTGCCTGAGGGCTGACAGGGCTAAGTCAGCAGTTTTAATACAATTTTGCAAAACGATAGTTTTGAAAACAACACTTTTGAAGACCTGCTTACGCTTGGGAAGCAGCAAGTGCTTTATATGAGCCAGTAGAAGTAAACAGGAACAACCTCTGCAACTGGTAATAAAGCATAACTACAGAATTCCTCCCATCTTTGTTTCAGGTTGTAGGCATTACGTCAGCCCCACGTCGCGGGTGTCAGTTGTCTTTGTGGGAGTGGAGAGCACTCTGCAGTATCGCTGCCTGAAGACAAGCAGACCTCCCCCCTCAAAGCAGGGGTAAACTGCTGCCTCTGGACAGGGACGTACGGGTCTACGCAGCAACGGGACCAACAAAGCCAACACCATCCCAACGCTCTGAAACGTCACCGTTATCAGTGCACGGTGTAGTAAAAGAAAGGGACAAGTAACTATGTTTTACAGGCTCCTTTGTTTCTTTAACGATCATCACTTAGATAAAATGAAGAAAAAAAAGAAAAAAAGACTGGTGGAGAGAAATATATTCACTGTGTTAAAACACTTCTATGAGTATGAGCAAGAGCTGATACAAGAGATGTCGTTGATATTTCTTCTAGCCTCTTTTCCCATCCAGATCCAGGACCTGCTGTATAGCTCGGGGTATGATTCCTCGATGCTTGTACTCATCAGTTGCTCCCGTCATCGTGTAAGTTTTACCAGCCCCCGTTTGCCCATAGCACATTATCGTGCCTAGAAAACATTCAAAAGCAAAAGAATAAACTCAGGAGGGAACCTCTGCATTTCTCAAATGGGACAGCAGAAGGATCCCTCCCTCAGATCAAATCTCAGCTTATTGTCAAAATAATAAAAATCGCACCAAATTACCATTATAGCCAATTAAAGCTTTGGACACCAATTTCTTAGCCACAGTCTTGTAAGCCAGTTCCTGGGAGGTATTGTGAAGGACGCCATCCAGTCTAAAGGACCAGTCAGTCTGCCTGTTATTCACAACTCCTTTCTTGGCATCTTTTTTGATGTATATATCAATGCTCTGAAAGCCAAAAAGAGAAGAAGATAACTTCAATAGCCATGAAGAGTTTCAGCAGTTATTATCTGAAAAAACAAAAAAGGAAATGTGGCTAAGCTCCTCTGTTTACCTTTCAGTGATGTCTCTGATTTTGTGTCCCAGAGAAATTATTAATTAAGCAAGAATAACCTGCATAAGAGGGGATAGAAATAGACTGTACCCCAGGGAGACCTCTTAGGTTGAAATCGTTGTTACCACTGGGAATTTCTCAAAGATCAGAGCCCCAGTCTTTTTTTCTCTAGTGACCGCATCACAAGAAGTATGTTTTCCCATAGTCACACTTGCTGATACAAAACCACGAGCCGCTGTCAGCGCAGGGGAGAACAGCAAGCAGGAACACATGAATCAACGTCCACCAAGGAGTTATACTTGGCCTTAAGGAAGAGAAGAATTCTGCGTTGCTGTGGGCAAAACTGAAATCAAATTCCAGACCTTTCACACTTGCAATCTCTTCTTCTCTACCTTGTTGTCTGGCCCAAACTTGATCATATCTTGAGCAAAATCAGCTGTTGGCTTGACTCGCACAAATGTATGGACTCTCTTCTCTGCTGTATCCATTCTAAATAGAGAGGGAAAAAAAAAAAGGAAAAATCAACAAAATTGCATTCCCTAAAATGAAATGTAATGTTATTTGTCAGGAAAAGGCAAGCTACAGAGGAGACAAGTTTAAAAATAAAGTGTTGACGTATGTTCAGCTGCAGTTTCTATTCTTTATTAAAAGCAATCGTAGGCAAACAGTTGCTGCAAATTCTTTCCAGCATTGTTCTGCTCAGAAAACTGAGCACATCAAAAGAGAAGGGTCTTACTGATCGTGATTTCCTCTTGTGTATCAGGCACATTAGTGTTTGACAACACAAGCTTTTCTTCCTCTTAGCCTTGCAAAGCAAAATAGTTGCAGGAATATGAGACGGATTTTCTTTTCTCTAGTGTTTTCTGTGTGTGAAGGCACACACAGCCTCCTGTTTTGTAATGTCAGTTCATCCAGAACTGTGTTTCAAGTTTCTGAGGCTTTGAGTAAGCCTCCAGGGGCTCAACAGCCCTGCAAAAGGCGATGCAGCCCGTTGGTATGCCGACATTTCCAACACTCTGAGCAGCAATTACCTTGTTTACAGTCTGTATTGAATATGCGTTTCTCATATCTTTGTAACTGATACGCAAAAATATTTTAAAGTTCCTAATGAAGACCTGATCTTAAAGTTTCTGGAAGGAAAAAAAAAGTCATGAGCCTGACAACTCCTGGTGAAATTCTTGCGTTGTTCTTCTGGTCAATGCGAATTTAGGAAGTGGCTGTCAAGATCTGGCAAGGCTAGGGGATCTGCTGACCAAAATCCACCGGAGGAGGGCTCAGGGGATACATCCAGCTGCGAAAACCCCACCTGAGAAACAGGCGCTGAGTATTTTTAAATCCCTGAAACACTCAGATCCTACGTTTTCTCTCCACTGTTTCCTACAGACGGCCTGTTCTCAATAGCTGGGTAATATCTAGCAACAATTTCTGTTTTCAGACAAAACCCTTTGTATTTCTTGTATACTAAGTATTTTTATTAGTGATCTCTCCATTACCATATCTGCTGTGACGGCTCAAAAAAGAAACAGAGACGTGGGCTGAACCAAGACTTCTCTTTATTTAAAACAGAGGTGAGCATTTGAATGACTACCTGGTAAAGGTATCGTGGGCGCCTTCTCCTTTTCCTAGACTACCGCAGCGATGCCAACATCATGTCCGCTGTAGAATCCAAAACGATGCTAGGTCACCGTGACCATAACCTCTTCCGTATCGGAGACAGTCTTCAAATGTGATTTGTGAAAAAGCACGGTGATAAAGAAGTGCACAGATGTCACCGTAAGGATTGCCACTAAGTGACATGCACAGAAAGCCGCCAAAATATTTGCCGGCGCTGCGTAAATAAAGGCAGGAGCAGCACTGGAAATGGAAAGTGAAATGGAAACAGAGGCAAGAGTTTTAAAGTTGGTAACCAGCGTGGAAATGCTACTCATCTGGTTATGGGGATTGTTAGAGATCACAAAACTCTGCTGCACAAATATAACCCAGTGTTGGAGCGGTATGTGCCTTATTTCTTCAGAGCCGCAGCAAGAAGCACAGCAGGAAAAAGAAGCAAGGGAAAATTTTAGGCAAAAACTCTAATATGAATCAGCGAGAGACATGACAAATTCAGAATGAGTGGAATCTTCCTCACTGCAACAATGCCGGTTGTTGGATATTAGGACAAAAGCAATTACTCCCGGGAGTATTTACTAACATCAGAAGATGGGAAGAAAACAGGGAAACACCTCTCCGGCAGACTCCTAACCAACAGCATAGAGACCAAAAGCCCTCCAGCTCATTAGCAATACCCCAAGCATCCAACCAATCTGATTATTAACTGGGTTTTTTGTCTGCAGCGGAATGTTTATTGAGGCACTCCGAAGAAAACTACGTGTTTATTGGTCAGCTAACCAAAAACGTTTCTGGTTGTTTCACCACTAAATCATCGTCTCCCAGTTCAAACAATAAATGTTGAAAGGACAAGAGTCAGACGTGCCGTTACCTTTGCTCATCGTTCAGCACCTGTAGCGTAAACCAAGCAAGCAAAGCAAATCACAATTCACAACTCAGGCCGTTGGTTTCGCAGCTCTTTATGACAAGGTGCCAAACCAAAGTTCCTTCATCCCTCCTTATACTGCAGCTGAAGCCAGCAGGACTCCCCCGTTAGTTAGGCTCAAGATTAACAGACTATTTATGCTCAGAATTAATGGAAACACAGTTATCTCTGCAATGGAGGCAGACACCAACATGCCCACACAAAGATTAGTGCCAAAGGGAAATTTTAGGTGGGGATTTTGGGGCAGATTGGCACAGATATGTGTACCCAGAGCAGTGAAATGTGGTTTTCTGTTCTGCCTGAGAGATCGGAGCTTATCCAGCACAGATGGACAAAAGTCTGGGCCGAATGTAAACACTGGGGAGGCAAAGCTGCTTTGTGGGGGGGAGGTGATGGTGAGGCTTGCCCGTAGAATTCAAACTCCAGTGATGCTTTGAGAGTTGAATCCACTCGTTTGGACACCAAAAGCCCAGTCCTGCCCCAATACCCCAGGCCGTCTGCACGCCCAGGACCACCACCAAGCAGAATACGGTTGGACTTGATGATCTTTGAGGTCTCTTCCAACCATAATGATTCTATGATTCTATAACGATTCTATGAATGGGGGAGAGAACAGCCCCAAATTACCTTCTGCCTTCCCAGCTGAGTGCTAAACCAGCCAGAGGGTGCGGGATGCGAGGCGGCTGGTGACACGGGTGCACCGATAACGGGTTTTTAGGAGAGGTGCAAGAAGAAGTAGGAGGAGGGCATGAGGATGGGCGGGATAACAGGGAAAAGAGGGAGTTCCACGGACAGCCATGCCCACAGCCCCGCTTGCTGGGGACATGGGCCAAAGAGGGTGATCTGAGAGGGGGCTGGGGTGGAGGGGGGCTGTGAGGACAGGGAAAGGGTCATCCATGTTT